ATATTTTTATATCTGAAAACAATTAAATTCAAAAAATCAATATATTTAAAAATGCTGATAATTCTTAGGATTTAGTCTAAACAATTAAATGTAGAAAAAAATCTCTAAGGCTTATATAAACTAATTGTAGCACAACAGCGGTAAGATGTATACAATTAAGTTTTAAAAAAATCACCCAGCTTATTTAATCAAATTTATATTAAAAATAATAATGTTAATTCTCGAATTTAATAAAATTTTAATAATACTAAAATAATGTAATCTAAAAGTTAAAAAATCTAAGAAAATTACCTTGGTAAATATCTATGGAAGCAGCTATGACCACTAAATGATAAGACCAATTTATTGTGATATTTTTATAGCTGAAAACAATTAAATTCAAAAAATCAATATATTTAAAAATGCTGATAATTCTTAGGATTTAGTCTAAACAATTAAATGTAGAAAAATCTCTAAAGCTTATATAAACTAATTTTAGTACAACAGCGGTAAGATGTATACAATTAAGTTTTAAAAAATCACCAAGCTTATTTAATCAAATTTATATTAAAAATAATAATGTTAATTCTCGAATTTAATAAAATTTTAATAATACTAAAATAATGTAATCTAAAAGTTAAAAAATCTAAGAAAATTACCTTGATAAATATCTAGGGAAGCAGCTATGACCACTAAATGATAAGAACAATTTATTGTAATATTTTTATAGCTGAAAACAATTAAATTCAAAAAATTAATATATTTAAAGGTCTTATTTAAAACATAACCATTGAGTAAAGTGTGTACACTTTACTCAATGACATAACAATTTATCATAAAATAATTTAAAATATTTAAATTATTTCATTTATAATTTCTTTTACACTTTATTTATATTTATCATAAAATAATTTAATATATTTAAATTATTTCATATATAATTTCTTTTACACTTTATTTATATTAAACACAATCTATAGATCAAATATATTTGATCTATTTAAATGATTTTTATAAATTTTTACGCAATATCCTCTAATGATGTCATTACTATTTTTTATTAATTATTTTTTCAATTTTTATAAATAACAAATTTATTATTAATAAATTAAATGGACAATTTTTAGGAATATAATATTATAAAAACAAGATTTTATCTCTGTTTTTAACTACTAACAATTTTAAGAATTTAGAGAAAGTATACTTATTATATTTATAACTGTTTTATTGCACCAGAAATTCATTTTTAAAACAACCCAAGCAATATTAAAAATCTAAATAATAAGGAAACAATATTTTAATTATATGTTTATAATTAAAATTACTATCCTTAGCATATTTATTTACATTAGAGAAAATTATTTTAATTGTATTTTATCTCTTTAATTCTTTAAACTACCTGGACAATTTTTAGAAATATAATATTATAAAAACAAAATTTTATCTCTGTTTTTACTAATAAACAATTGTAGGAATTTGGAGAAAGTATACTTGTTATATTTTATCTCTGTTTTATTGCATGAGAATTTCTAGAAAAAATAATTTAAAAATAAGCTCAAGTAATACACAAATAAGCTCAAGTAATACACAACTGTATGACAGTGTATGTAGAATAATAGCTTTTGTTACTCTTTACTATTAAATAAATGGTTGTTAGGATGATAATTACTAAAAATAAAAATTACTTACCCAATATATGCACACACATAATGTACTACCAGGTAAAAAAATGTCCTCTTATTTATACAAATTAGCAGTCTGTGGGTAGGGATGAGGAATTTAATTAATTTTCAAATTCTCATTAGCAAGGATCTTTTAAACATAAATATAAAAAATTGTTGCAACAGTATACTAATTATTTACTGAATGCATTTATTAAAAAACTATAGGTCATTGGTGCATGAAAACTAATTAAATCAATTTCCATTCACAATGATGGTAAAGCACAAGGTCGTCGAATTCCGCTAAAATTAATATAAGAAATGTTGCATCAGTCTCCTAATTAGGTATTTCGGCAATGCATGTATTAAAAAAACTAGGTCATTGGTTTTTGGTATTTAATACATTTCCGTTTGTCACATGCAAGGTCAAATTCCACTAAAATGCATATACTATTTCATCAGCCACTTACTTAATTCAGGGTGTCTACAAATCACATAGACACAAACACACACAAATTGATATGCCTATACAAAAAACTCACAGCAGTCTATAGGGAAAAACAATTCAAAGGTCAAATTACACAATAAAAAACAAAAAATTGGCACAACCGTTTAGGGAAAAAAATCAAAATGTAAATTATTTCTTTCTGTATTACTATTTATACCTAGGAAACCTAACCACCAACCATTGCGTTATAATATTGCAGTTACATATTTTTTGTTTTTTAAGCGGAAGCCTCATTTTTCGTTTCAAATTCTAGAAAAAAAACCACAAAGTTTGATATCAATATTGTATTGTAATATTTTTTATTTGATAATTTTTAAATTTTATTAATTAAATAAAAAAATGAATATGTGTTTTTTATTCAAATAAATACTTTAAAAAATCCTCTCGGAAAAAAATTAAAATTAATTTAGTGTGAGATATTTAAAATTTACAATTATTTTATAGTTTTACATACATTACTTTGGGAAATAGTTTTTTTTCTTATCAGCGCGCACCGCAAAAGTTTAATTACAATTTTAAACAGTATTTTTATATTAATTATTTTATAGTTTTTATACATTAGTTAAATTTTAAATAATTAATAATTATTTAAATATAGCTTTTATCTCTTTTTATAAATTTTAAATATATCTAATATCCTCTAATGACATCATCATCAGATAAGAGTTTCGTGCAAAATTTCATGGGTTACTTATTAGTAAACATCTGTATATGACTCATATTTTATAGCATCTCTAGGCGCCTGTTATCAATTCCGAACGGTAGATCAGCAGGTAGCGCTTCCGACTCTGGTGCAGAGGGGTCTCGGGTTCAATCCCTGAGGGCGGCCGGCTGATAGCGGTCAACTGACGGCGACCGAGCGACCTTGGTGGGGAAAGGTGGATGCCCGCAGGTGTGTGACTTGATATGGACAAAAAATTGCAGAATGGAGATTTGATTTTCCTATGGGGATTTTAATATGGGAAAATGACTGAAATTGAGTCAGAATTCTTGTTCCTACCCTACTAATATGCAATGAATGTGATATTGCAGTTGCCACTATTGAAAATATTACAACGTTGGCCATTAATTATTTTGAAGTTAGCTAAACTTATTTTGAATTTATATTTACTTTAGTATTTGTTTATATATTTGTATTATTATAATTGTCCTGTAATTGGAATTCCTTTTTTGTTGGGCAATAAAGATAGTATTATTATTATTATTATTATTATTATTATTATTATAAGGCCCTATCTCGATTTATTCAACTTTTCAGGAGAGCAATTTAAAGAAAACTAAGATTTTCAATCTTATTTTTTTGAAATTATGAACACAAATCAAGTTTTTTGTCAGATACCAAATTTCAACATTATAATTAACATATTGTTGTAATAACGGTTTTTGTGAGATAGGGCCTATTGTAATAACACTAAACAATTTTATTGGTGTATTTTGGTCGAGATAGGCCTTTTAAAGCTAACTGAACCTGAATGTAAAATTATATTAATGACTCCTCATTTTCAAGAAGTAGCTATAAAGTTGGTAGTAATAATTTTAATAAATCCCAAATTCAAATTTGTTAACATAGACTATTTAAATTTTTTATCTATAGAAAAAGTATTTGAAGTAAGTGCAATTCGCATTGTAAATATTGATAAAAACTTATATTTAATTAATTTATACGGGGACCTGGAGGAAATTTTGATGAATTTTTAAATAAAAGTATCTTATTACACTAAATGGTAAAGATTTTATTTTGGTTGGAAGTTTTAACATAGGTACACTTTAAAACAAAAAATAAAAAAAATTGCCTAAACTTTTTAGCTCTGGTCAACACATTAGGTTTTAAACAAATTAATTTTTTTTCCACACGGAAAAACAACTGCATTGATAATGTTTTTATAAATTTTCAGAGAAACTATTTCGAGATTTTTATTACAAATACATGCGTGTCGGACGACTATGCCCAAGTTATAAAAATTAAAATTTTATTATCTAAAACTAACAATAAATCAACAACAAAAACTATAACACCAATAACTAAAAAGGGTAAGAATATTTTTTTCAACCAAATAAATAATATTAATTTTGAATATGTACTACAATTGTGTAAGTACAGAATCAAGATTTTCAATATTTGTTGATGATATTTCAACAGCTTTTGACCGATCTTTTCCTAAAAAACCAGTAATTGTAAACTCAAAACAAAAAACTAGCACAAGAACCATGGTTTACAACCGAATTAAAAGAGCACAAGAACCATGGTTTACAACCGAATTAAAAGAGAATAGAGAACATTCATTTTTTAAATTAACTTTATAAACAAACTATAAATATTGAAATTTTTAAACAAAAAACAAAATTAAGAAATAAATATAAACAAGAATTAATTAAATCAATAATGATAATGAAGTTTTGGTTTAATGAGGTCACCTTTATTGAGGTTATGGACAATATTATTGGACTTAAAAATAAAAATAGTTGAGATCTGTTAGGTTTTAATACAAAACTAATAAAATCAATAAAATATATTATTGCAATTCCACTTACAAAACTTATTAATTCATGTTTTAGGGAGGCTGAGATTCTCAGCGTATTGAAGGAGGCCCTTGTTATACCAATACACAAAACAGGCGATAAAAATGACAAAAACAACTACAGGCCAATTTCGCTTTTATCTATTTTTTCAAAAATTATAGAAAAATGTATGGCCACAAGAATCTCACTGTATTTTGAAAAACACGAAATATTTATTAACTGCCAAAATTTATACAATATCAACAATTTACCTTATAAAAGCAGTCAAGTAAGTTATTTTCTCTTTGCTGACGATACAACAATCTATACGAAATAACAATGCAGATGTTCTAATGAGCCAGGTCGATGAGGCACAATCAAGGGCTAAAAACTGGTTTGTAGGTAATAATCTTTTACTAAATGAAAATAAAATTAATGTTATGTTATTTTATCTAAGAGAGCTTAATATCAGTGGTCAAAGTGCAGTGAGATTCTATAGGGATCCTATAGGGAGTCGACATAGACCCAAAACTAAAATGATAAATTAGGTTCTAATATCTTCGTACTGAGAATCTTATGTGTATCCAAAAATGTTTTGAAGACAGCATATTTTGCTCTATAAATATGTGGCATATGCCATAATAATATGGGGGAGCGCAGCGGAGGTACATAAAATATTTTTACTACAAAGAGCTGTAAGAATTGTAGCCGGCCTTGCGTATGCATATGCAAGGCCGGCTACAATTCTTACAGCCATGGTGACGACTGCAGGGAAGCATTTAGTACGCTGGGCATGCTAACCTTTCCATGAATTTATATTTTACAAAACCTAATATATATTACATTTAATCTTGCTATGTTTCACTCCCATGATAGTGTGCATAAATCAGGTTTTTTAACAAATTACCCAACAAGACTAACAAATTACCCAACAAGACTAAAGAACTTCCTCTGAAAATTTTTAAAAACAAAATTATGGATATTTAAAAATGCTTTTTATAGTTGTGATAAATTTATTACTTATAATTTTAATAATGTGTAATCTTTAGTGCTTAATATGTATGTAATTTTACTTTTAGTTAGGTTATTCTAGATTTAATTTTAACTTTAAATTTGATATATTTTTATTACCATGTGTATTGACGATGTAAACCTTTGGTATTAGCAGACATATATATTATTATTATTATTATTATTATTATTATTATTATTATTATTATTATTATTATTATTATTATTATTATTATTATTATTATTATTATTATTATTATTATTATTATTATTATTATTATCTCCTGTTTGCTTTCTCATCACCACCACATAGTTTTACCTAGTACCTGGTAATGCATTTATGCTTCTAAAGGGGAGATTTCAATGTTAATTTTGCTCTAGAGAAAGCACGACCGTTGATAAATTTTTTAGATTAAACTTAAAAATAGATAACGATCCTTATACACACAAGGTGGTCCATATTTTAGGAAGTAACTGTATTTAATTAAAACAAAGTATAACAAGATAATTGTAGGCCATTTATATTTCTTAAAAATTATGCCTGTTAAATGGATTTCCCTTCTCTCTATACACTCTTGAAATTCTGCATAATACGACGCAGCATATCCAATGGAATATTAGCAATTTCTTTTTTTTCAATTTTCATTTTCGGTTTTCGAATATCTCGTGGTTTTTTAATGAAAACCTTGCTTTTTAGATAGTACTACAAAGATCTGGCGATCTTGGGGGTCACTCAATGAATGTATCTGTGTCTAAAGATAACGCGACCTGAAAACAATCTTCGTACGGAATTGATGCTCTTGCAGTTTGTGAGCGTCATCTTGCTGAAACCAGCTGTTGTTTCATGAAAAAATCTTCAGTTGCTGTGTAAGGAACTGGTTAATCATGACAGTATAGTGTGCAGCATTGACTGTTAAAGCATTTTCATTGTGATCCTCAACAAAATAGAGATGATTTCCATTTTAAGATATTGCGCACCATATGTATATTGGTATAGCCAGATAAATGAAAATTTGCTTTGAACGTTTTGGACTGCGCTAAATAGATGCTCTAACGCGATTAATGTGACTTCTGACACTTCTGTTTGGTCCCTTATGTTTGACATCTTTAGCTGATCCAGTTTCTTCAAATTTACGAACCCACCTTTATGACATGGGCATACAGATGGAACTCTTTCGGGAAGAGCAATGTTGAAATTACACAATCACTATTATTGTAGTAAGATTTAATCACAAAGGAACGTTGTTCACCGGGCCACTGTTTTATGATTACTAAATCGGATAAAATGATAATTTTATGCCATTTTTTATGATAATTTGTTAAACAAATTCGCGGCAACCTATGCATATTAACTATTAGTTAACCAGTAATTGACCAGTTAAGGAAATTTTCGTGAATAAATTATTATATTTTCCTCTATTTTTAGTTTAAAATAAAATAAAAAATATCATTGAGTTTAATTTTGTTTTAAGATTTGATAACAGCTGACTAAAAAATAAAAAGAGTTTCTATGCCGACGAAAAAAAATTTAATGCACGAAAATTCATGATTTTCCAGTGGTTGACCAATGCCTTGTAAGCAGATATCATTAATAAAACTGTGCCATCTAGAAGTTTAGGGGTAAAACACTATGCAAATAATATAAGTTTTTAATTAGGTAATACAGGGACCTTGCTTTTATCATTTAATCGGTAAGTTGGTCAATAACTGGTTGATGGTCAATTACTGGTTAACTGACCTAATAACATTTTCAAAACTTCCCGCTCCCATGGTCCACCTTGTATATCCTCCACGAAATCTGAAAGTACATGGAAAAATAAAATAGTAACTATTGATCTCAGAACACTAATCAACTAATTATGTCAGTGCCAGTGTACCATTTAAAATCAAACAATTTCTAATAAAACATCACGATTACTTTGACAACAACAATACTTAGCTTTGAGACATAATAAAACTAGTGTTAGGAACTGTGGTGATCAATATTCTGCACATGAAATATTATTTAAATTGAATATAAGTGAATAACTGTTCTGCGCATCAACGGTTACTATTTTATTTCCTCCCTGTACTTGTACTAGATGCAGTATTTGTTAGATATTTAGGCAGATTACAATAAAAAAATGTTAATTTCATACTTAGTTATCATAAGCCTATTGTTTAGAGCTTGGAGTGTAAATCTGAGTCATTGAAATAAAATATTTTTCTATCTCAATGATCTGACCAAGTTAAATATTCAATCGTGTATGCTTATTGAACATTCTTGGTATGATTGTGAATAGGTCCTTCGAAAAAGTTTCACTTCTATAGCGTTTTTTTTAATTAAATTATTTTACTATATTTTATAAACTTTTTTTAGTTTTAGTGACCCCTAACTTAATTAAAAAAACAGTACCTACTACAAATTTTTATTACACACTTTAAATATAATTATTTTTTTGTGGGAGATAAATTAATTATGTATTTCTTTCAGCACCTGAAACTCAAACTCAATCAGTTTGCAGTATCCTGAGCGACATGTACTCGCTAGGCATGGTAATTTGTGCAATTTTTAACCACGGAAAGCCACTTATCCAAGCTGGCAACTCAAGCTCGGCTTACCTAAAACAACTGGAATTGGTAAGCGTTTATACATAATTTGAATACATTTTAGTATAGGTACGTGAGGGTTATTTCAATAAGATTTAAACTTTTCCTATTATTTTCCTTTGCCACACATTCTCACCTTTTAAGGCCAACCTTTAAAAAAGATTAATGTAGCAGCAGTGACTTTTTGACCTAAGACTTTTGTGTGCACTTTACACGAAGTGAATTACATATAACGTCATAATATATAAGGGTCATATTCAGATTCCTAGACAATACCAAAGTTTTAAAATTAATAAAAATCTGAATTCTCAAATCTTTTATGCCTATAAATATAAAAAGTTTGTTTTTGGGACACATAAAAAATCTGAAATTTCCTATTAATAGGTATTTATTTTTATTTGGTATCCGAACCTCAAGGACTTATTTTAGGGGAATCAAATTTTAATAAATTCTGTAAGTAATCAAATATAACTTTTTGTTACATAGGAAAAGTAAAAGAAAAACATTTTAATTATTTTTATAGTTTTAATATAGGAACCCCAAGACCCTATTTCTGTGGCCTCAAATTTTGGAGGATTACTGCCTCCAAATGCCTTTATAAAGGCAAAACCAAATTTACTCCGGCCCAATGGGCATTTCATAAGGCGTAGTGATTTAATTTGTTTATCAATTCTCACTAAACGCTATCGTGTAAAAAAAATTTAGTTTTTGACGTTGCTCAACAGCAATACAAATGACTATTTTCTATTTCCTGTGAAATGGCGGATTTTAAGGACATCGACTTTGGACGAAGGTGTTGAAATTAACCCTCGTATATCAGACTATGCAACATAATGTTACTAACCAATAATTATTGGTTATTATAATAGGCTTTAGGTCAAAAATGTATTTATTGCTTTAAAATAATACAGCAAATAATTATTATTAAGTAATATAAATAATCATGACAAAACGACAACGGTCCAACTTTCAAATTATATTTTCTTTTATAAGGATTAGCTTTAGGAACGTAGCGAGGGAGGAATTATATATTAATCAAAATAATCGGAGAGTTTGTTTCAAGAACAAAGAAGAACAGCTAAAGCTGACACGAAGCAAAAGTTTTACATTGCATCCACAGTAAATCTAAAAAAACAAAAAGCATTTAAAAAGTTTCCTAATTTAATAAAAAGAAACTTCCCGGCTTTGGTCAAGATTGCTTCAAACTCAGAAACCCTAAATAAATAATTTCATATGCAACAAATTTTCTACATTTTGCAGAAATAAGCAGTGCCCAATTTCTAAAAGGTGCCGGATGTGTTGTAGTAAATGACAAAAGCAATAAAAAGCATAGTTTTTTTTTATTGTTTTAGTTAATTTTAGTACAAACTATGTATTGAGAAGTATCGGTACGCCATTTAAGCCCTGGAAATGTTAATCTGGTACAAATAAGATAAATACAAATGGAATTTTCTAGTAGATATTCGTGCCTTATGTTTTGTTCATCATTTTGTATTCAAAACACCATAATTGTGGTAAAATGTGTTGTAGTAAATGACAAAAGCAATAAAAAGCATAGTTATTTTTATTGTTTTAGTTAATTTTAGTACAAACAATGTCTCAATACATAAAAACACCAAAATTGTGGTTTTAATTTTATGTATCTTCAAGCGTTCTATAATTTTAACTTTATATTGTCAATGCTCACTACCAATGTATTCGATTATCTCCTGAGCTGTAAAAATAATTTAGACCAATCAGGTGACGTTTTTTACATCCTAGTCTGTAAAAAACACGTTGGAACAAATAAAAAAATTCGATAACTCTAAAGCAATCTAACCTCACTTTATACTTTTAATAATTGTTATTATACGCTAAAGAAGTATCGCTAGTAGCGCCACCACTCATCGTAACAAGGGTAGAACTTATAATAATCAAACGAGTGTTTTTGAGAATAAAGCCCGATAATGTTAAAAAATATCGAAAAAAAAACATGTATCGATTTGTTGTGTTGTTGGGTGTATTTCGAGAGAAAATCCTGGGTTTTTTACCGGTTTTCCAATAAACAGTGTTAATCTGAATGAATAAATAAATTGCATACAGTCTCTATAAATATAAATTGTACCTATTCAATAAATATAAATTATATTAGGTAAAGTTATCATTAGTTAATTCTGCACCAACAAATGTACTTACCGAATTGGATCCTTTGGTAAAACATGAAAATGCAACGATTTAGTTCTTGAATTTTATTTACAATTAAAAACACAATAATTCACCATGATCCCTTTGATAAAATACCCACACTAACGTAACTATATAAGCATTTAAGCGTTGAGTTTCTTAATCAATGATTTAAGGAATAATCAATTGAAATCGATTAATAAAAAAGTTTTTTAATTTTTTCCTTGCAACGTAAAACACAAATAAAGTGCGCGATTTAGCTGTGCAATTGAACAAAATTTGTCAAGTAAGACTTCTGCCTTCCTCTCTTTTGTAAAAAAAACTACCTATTTATTTAAAAATGATGTATAATCGGTGCTTTAAATTTATTGTTGATAATTCTTAAATTCACGCAATGCATTCGAAGTCCACCAGATGACGCGCGCGTTGCGAAAACCCGATACTTCTTTAGCGTATACCTTAAAGAGAAAATATTACCTATATGCCATTTGGCTGAGACGTGTCTGTTTGTGCTTCGCTCAATAATTGTAGGCCTCCGTTAACGTGCGTGCTTAGCATATACATAAAAAAACTATCATCTTTAAGCGTTCAATAATTAAAATTTTATTATTGTCAACACTCACTACCAAAGTGATTGATTTTTAGGTTTTTACATCCCACTCTGTAAAATATCTGTTAGGACCAACTAAAAAATTTGATAACTGCTTACACATGTGAAGCTATCGAACCTGACTTTATACTATATTATAATATTAGGGGTAAGAAGCAAAAAAGTTTCAGTGCATTTTAGCACGATAAGATGGTTGGACTCCCCTAACGCCTAAAAGTATACAACCCGTAATACAATTCCAAATGTTAAAATAATATTTTATTCTGTTTTCGTAAATAAGTCAAGTTAAGAAAAAGTTTTGTACAAAGTTTATAGAAACAGGGTGATGTTAACACTGATAAACAACCACTTAAGACATTTTAGAATGCAGAGGGATGAGTCCAAGTCCAATATTCAGGGGGTGTTCGAATATTATATGCAAAATTAATAAATATTAATTTGGTAACGTATACGATAATGCTATTACGAGTACACCCCGTATCATGTTACGCCAAGAGGAATACCTCTCTACAGGACGTCCCTTTACCAATTTATTGTAAGTTTGTTATTTAAATAGTTAACTTGTTTAGTATTTAGTTAGTAATAGGTTTAATTGTTATGTTCAATACGATTGTTGTAATTTAGTTTTAGTTTTTAGTACCTAATCTTATTAGCGGTCAAAAAACTTGAATTTGTGTCCATTGTTTTCTAAAATGGTACCAATTCGCTACTATTCTAATTGTTAAAATATTTTATTGTAATAACCAATATTTAGAAAAATCCCAATTAACCAGAGAAAAATTGAACTCTAAGGGCACACTTAAAATTATAATTATTTCCTTGGGCTACTATACAAAAATATCTATCCAAATACTTAATAATGCTAAAACACTATTTTATCTCAATTTTACCATGTCCCTCATATGGTTTACTTTGTCCAACTTTTGGAAAAGACAAAGCACGATATATGGGAGGGGGTTGATCTAGAGTTACGTAAACCGATTTAAGGTAGTTGTCGTGCTGTAAGCATAACATCAGAAAATTTTAAATTTTTGTATACTTAGGACATGACAATACAATTATCCTTAAAATTTGAAGTCGATTGACCGTCTATAACCAGAGATAAATTCAATTAAAAATTGGATAATTAACATGGATTGTATACGCTTTCTGTAGTTCTGTACCAGTTTCTTAGTTATAAAAAAAACTAACTGTCAGAAGCTTTCAAAAAACTAACAGTCTTTTAATGTATTTTTGCTGAGTTTAAAAAAAAATAATTACAAATTTTTGACCGTCCAATTGTTTATAAATAACCGTTTAAAGTTCAACAAATTGTGAAAAGTATACATCAATAGTGTCAGATAAAAAAAACTTGGCAACGCTGTACGCGAATATAGATATTATTTCCGCAGTAAATTCAAACAGACTGAATCAGTCTCAAATATATCTATTGGTTGAGCATAAGGCTTAGCGACGTTGACGGATTAAAACTTATTAAAATATTTGAAAGTATTACGTAAAGGTAACGTCTCCAGGGTACAGTCTTGCGAAAAAATTATGAATTACTTGGTTACAAGCTCGTATACTTTTACGGTGCGTATAATCTAAAAATTTTTGACAATATTGTACCACGACAACTACCATAAGTAGGGAGTTTCGCGCTCTAGTTGGGTAATACGTTTTTCCAAAAACTCGCAATCTCTAATTCAAACTAGTGTAACTGGTGTAACGCCAGTTGTAGCCATCTTGGTTATTTGAATTCGTCGCCGCGACATCGCGCAACGACAGCTTCAACTTTGTTTTAAATTTCCCGCAGTGTGTATGTCCTGCCACCTGCTGGTCATTTAATTTCGAAGTCTATCGCCGTGAGTGTTGATAAAGTTTATTATTAATTATTTGAGGATCTTAATGAAACTATAGGTATGCCAAAACATGTTATCATTGTAATTGTTTTTCCAACGTAAAGATAGTAACTTAATTCATAAATAAATGAATAAATAAGTAAATAAAAAAAGGATCGGGGATATCTATCTGCCTACCGCCAGTTACAATACTCTAGTACTACTGCTTTAAGCTATTTCATTTTCCACCAAATGGTTATTTTTTTGATTGATCTTCCTACTTTATCACGACGAATCTGGGCTAGACGAGTTCTTGGCTAAATTTAAGGTAAATACGAATCTTTAAGGCAAGTACAGATTTTAAAGGGTAAATTAATTAAACACTACGTAGACCGGGTCCATTCCATTCCAACGAATATAAGTTAAGTGCAGAATTGTGTAGTTTAGAGTCCAAATTTGTTAACAAAATTTCTCATAACATGAAAATTGTACGAGTTTTACATGTTTATTAATGCAAACAACAATATTGAAATAAGTATCCAGATTTTTGTATATAGGCATCCGCTAACGTGTGTGCTTAGCACAAAAAGACTCACTTCTTAGCCTTTTAAAATAAATAACTATTTAACGTCCTAATCCTGTAGTAAAATGTTACAGAAATTTGCATTTGCCAACTTCCGAAAAGTGTAGATAAATGAAGTTTGTCATTTATTTTACTTGTATTTGCCACCTTTTTATTTGCTTTTTCTTTACTGTAAGTTCTTTAATATAATAGGAGAGGATTTTTATTCACACACTGTAAAAAAGTCATTTTTGGTCCTTTTATTAAATTGAGCGAAAAACGAAATTTAAAAAGGTACAATTGTCACTACTCTTAAAGGTTTAAAACTCATATATTTTTTTATAAAACTTTACGTAAATTCAGTTTAGCTTTCAAATAAAATTAACCCTGCTTTTTGTAGGCTACCAAGTAAATAATTTAATAATATGGTAAACATAATTAATATTTATTTCAAAATTATTTTCAACCGATGCATCGCGATGCAGTGGGCTTAATCGACAAAAACCCGTAGAGGACCGCTTTTAAAATACATTTGGCTTCTGAGTTCAACGGTTTATAAACGTATAAAAGTTGTTCAGGTACACGGTGTGATCGAGTGACGAAAAATATGTGTGACGTTTTTTGAAGTAATGTACTTTGTTCTAATACACAAAAAATAAGTTTTTATTTTTTAATTAATTACTCTGTAAAATACCTGTTACTAACAGGCTGTTAGGACCAATTAAAAAAAATTATAACTGCTGACACATCTAAAGCTCTCTAACCTCACTTTATACTTTTAATAATTGACGCGTTTCTCGGAAAAACATCATTAGTTCAAAATTAACATATTTGGGAAAATGAAAAAAACTCTCCGACATTCCCATTTTTGACCAAAGAACTTTATTGACCTATTTACTACATGCAAAAAAATGTAAGATACTTTGTCCAGAATTCCTCATGTTTGTATTTTCAAACGAATATGAAAAAAACACAAAAAATACATGAACATGTGAGGTTTTTAGAAGAAAAAAACAAACAATTCTCCTTACTACAAACACTACAAACTAAATACTAACTCTGAGTAACAAAATAAATGAAAAAACTAAAAACTGTATGACTGCCACACTCAGTCTTCGCATCCACTGCTGTTATCATCGTTGTCGACCGTGTTATTAGGACTGTCAGGTGCTATGGTCTTCTGCTCTTTTATCAAGTTATCATAAAATTTTCTATTGCTGTGGTAATGTAAAAGAGGTAGAAGCTTTTCTAGAGTGTCCAAAAACGTCACATGTTGTGTACATGTGACTTTCTTAGACGAAACGGAGTGGACTTGTGATGTTTTTAGAAGAACAAGCTAAATTTCATATTTAATTATTATGGAACCTATGACATTTTTACGAGAAACAATTATTTGTATACGTATATATGGAGGTTAGGAAACAGTTGGTGCTAATATCTAAATTTCGACGATATTGGACTAATGATGGTTTTCCGAGAAACGCCTCAATTGTTATTATAATTGATGGGGTAACAAGCAAAAGGGTACGTACATTTAAGCATGAAAATACTCGTTAGTTATATAAGTGCAGAATCATGTAGTTTAGAGTCCAAATTTGTTAAAAAAAATTTCATAACGTAAAAATTGTACGAGTTCTACATGTTGATTAATGCAAAAAAAATATTAAAACAAGGATCCAGATTTTTGTATATACCAAAAACATTATAAGTAAATAACTTCACCTCTTTTTTGCACTTGTACCCTTTTGCTCCTTACCAATTCAATTGTAAGTAGGTATATTTTATGTATCGTCTAACAAATAAAACTGTGCCTTGAAGATAAAATGATGTATGACATTCGGCTGAGACGTGTCTTTTTGTGCTTCGCTCAACAAATAGGCCTCCGCTTACGATTTACTTCTTAGCCTTATGACATAAATAACTATTTTACGTCATAATCCTGTAGTAAAATGTTACAGAAAATTTGCATTCATGCTAACCTTATACTTACAGGCGTTTAAAAGTATTTTATATTACATACACTGTTATAAAAATCAGATTTGTTAACATCAGTTAGTAGTTTGTAAAATTTTAACATTATCCTTTCTATAAAACCAGGCATAGTAATTATTTTAACAAAGACAAACATTTTACCGAAAGTACCTAACTTTTGTGATCGATTTGTTAATTTTCAATGGTTACAGATTATTTTGTTAATGTTTAACAAATTAATTCGTTAAAAAAGTACTCGTGAGTTTTGGCAACTAATAAAAACATTTTTCACTTATTTTTATCGCCAAGTTGACGACGTCAACCATTCAGCTTCAGCACAACAATACGCATCAACAAGTTCAACTTTATTCAGCGTCTGCTATTTGTTCTGCTTACATTATTCTGATTCGTAACAACTGGAGTGTTTATAATATATTACCATTAATCTGTTATTATTGTTATTTAAATTCTAATAACGAGTGTGTCACCAATATTCAATTATACTGGCATCAGGAACGTAGCGAAGGTTCCAATCATCGGGGTCATAAAATGCCGACTTTTTCGAAGATTTTGCCGACTGCAGGAATGTTTAGGTGTAAGATTGAGCAAAAATTAAACCTCATTCGGCATAAGCTACTAAATTTACAGAAAAATGAGGATCCGAATTCACTTTCGTATATTTAACAATCTTAAACTTAATCATTTTTGTAAAATGACGATTTTTTTTAAAATCACCTAAATTTTGTTTCTTTCATTCATTGGAATATATATTATCGAAACATCGAAAAATGCCGACTAAAAAACTTGGAGGTGTGACACGCCTCCATCGCTACGTCCCTGACTGGGATTATTAAGAAATAAGATCTCACGTTTTGTTTTAAAATCAATCATATTGGTACATTTCTAAAATATTATTTGTTTCAGTTGGAGGATCAAGTACACAATACAATGCCAAGAATACCATTACCTTTACAAGAAGCAACTGTCAGACTTCTCAGCAAAGATACAAGACAACGACCTACTGCACAACTACTAACATTAATAAAATATTTTAGGTAAGTGCTATAAATTGATAACCACGATTTCTCAAAATTTAACAGAAATAAATTAAAATAAAGATAAATGCACCAGAGCATTTTGTTTTAACATTTTGCTTTGACAAATTTGATCCCAATGTGTTTATTTTGTATATTTGCAGGTGTCAAACATGCAAACAAACTTTAATAAAACTATAGAACTACACTTTGCTAATTTAGTTTTTTCTATCAATAATTAATCTATTAAAGTAAAACAATATTAAAAAAAAGATGATTTGTTTCATATAGTGTGCACACTTTCCCTTTTTGATAATAATTTTTAAAATTTTTAATAGTGGGTTATTAAAATTGGTATGTTTTTACTGTACTAAAAAAATTAATATAATATTATTATGATTATTATAAATAAAAAAGCACAAGTCCAAACACAGTTTTTCCCAGAATATTCAAAACACTTTACAGCAGTCCTATATATAAAACGTGGTTCTTAAGAAACCTTTAATAATTTGAGAATCAATAAAAAACGTTAAAATAATATTAATTTTCTTAATAAACTTATATCGAAAACAGTTTTGAAAATAAAAGGTGCATACAGTGTGACCCATTTGTTTGCGACTCACCCCTGTAAAATCTTTATTTATTGTGCGATTTTAACCGGACTTGTTTTAACTGTATTTTTGCAGGAAAAAACGCCATATTTTTACAAAATACAAGGCCTACTATGTCACTTTTTAAAAGTAAATTTTTAAGAATTCATATTAGCAATTTTTTTAAACAAAATCTAAGCACGGCACTGGGTTCACCACCCCTCAAAACGACCCTATACTAAATTTTATTGAAAAATTTTAAGTAGAAAAATGCACAATAATAATAATAATAATATTAATAGTAATAATAATAATATTATATTTATTAGTCCAAAAGACAATTTTACAATTGTATAAGACATGTCAAAACACCAATTATAAAGACATTTACAAAAATGTAATACTATATATTATTTATTTAAAAATTTTAGAAATTCATCTATACTATAAAAATTATTGCCAAGATCTTTTTTTTTAAATTGATTATTTGTTTGACTTCTTCTGGTAATGCATTGAAGAACTTCTGATCCTGGTAGCCTGGTGAATTCTTAAATATGTCAAATCTGGGCCGCATAACCACAAAAATTTATTTTGTTATATTGTTATCCATGAAAAAATATTGAAATAAAATTAAACTAATAGCAACATGGTACTATTAAAATTTTTTAATAAAATTTAGTAAAGGGTCATTTTGTGGGGTGGTGAATCCAGTGCCGTGCTTAGATTTTGTTTAAAAAATCGCTAATATGAATTTTAAAAAATTTACTCTTAAAAACTGACAAAGTAGGCCTTGTATTTTGTAAAAATATGGCGTTTTTTGCTCCAAAAATACAGTTTAGGGGTTAAAGATTTTGCTTTGCTTTTATGTCAAAAGTTGTCCCCCTGACAAACAAAATTGACGCGTTTTTGGATTTTGCCGAAAAGTTCTTTCTCAGCCTGTAATGCCTTGCGGTAGGTTTTCGATGGGCCACCCTGTATATATATATATATGTATATATATATATATATATATTAGGGTGTCCGTTATTTACCAAGTTGATTTTTTTTCTTGCGACGCCCCCTGCCCCCTAAATTTTTAGTCTATCGTCTAAAAAAAATTTTCAGTTCAAAATAAACTCTAAATATTCATAATAAACCTTGCCCCAAAGACGATACATTTCCCATTCAAATTACATGGGATTTTGACACTTTTTTGCAATTAATTCTTTTTTTCCCAGGCAAGATGACTTACAGCAATGAGACATATATAGACATATATATTCTTATAGTAAATTGAACGCTCTACAAAAAAGGTTTCTTATAATTTTTCGATTAAATCACTCGTTAAAAAGTTATTCGAGGTGAAAGTTAAACTCTGTGTACATTTTCTGATTTTTTTTACTTTTACGGCAAAGTTATTATTATTTCGATAAAAGTTATTAGTATATTTCTGAAAATAGATAATTTTGGTGGTATTAGGGTATACAATTTTTAAACCTGGAAAATAATAGACTGCATAACAGGTAGCTGGTTCTAGTTTTAATCATTTTTGAGACTTTATTTATAACAAACAGTCAACTAATTTTTATTGAATTTCAAGTTTTGTATACTTTTATGAAATTTTCCTTCAATACAGTAAGTGACTCAAAATAACTCTTACAAGCATTCCCGCCAACACACGGAATTTTTATTGACGCAAGCGCGCTAAAGCGGTACTAAACCTTGACGGCGCTTTAAGTCCTTTTAGTATTGTATATTTGTTATATGATTGTATACAAATATCTCTGCATATTGTTGTGAATATTGTGTCGTACATTAACAGTATTTATTTATACCGTACCTTCATTTGCAAGTTAACCATAGGGAAAATAAATTGTAACTGGACCAGATAAGTCTTAGTCAGCACGAAGCGAAAAACGTTGTAGAAATGATTTGGAAGCGTGGACGAGTACGCTAGCATGCGCCGTAACAGACGCACTCTGATATGTGATCTCTCTCTTTTCCTCCTCCTCCGTTGTTGTTGTTGAGAGAGATCACATATCAGAGTGAGGTAGTACGCATGTCTCGACGACGCATCCAAATCATTTCTGAAAAGGTTCTCGCTTTGTGTTGACTGCGACTTATCTGGTCCAGTTACAATGTATTTTCCCTATGGTTAGCTTGCAAATGAAGGTATAATAAAACTTGTTTATTATACACAAAAAACAAAATTTAGAATTAGTGCAATTTTTAACATATATATGTCTCATTGCTGTAAGTCATCTTGCCTGGGAAAAAAAGAATTAATTGAAAAAAGTGTCAAAATCCCATGTAATTTGAATGGGAAATGTATCGTCTTTGGGGCAAGGTTTATTATGAATATTAAGAGTTTATTTTGGTCTGAAAATTTTTTTTAGACGATAGACTAAAAATTTAGGGGGCGTCGCAAGAAAAAAAATCAACTTGGTAAATAACGGACACCCTAATATATATATATAAACAGAAAACAACAAATCTCAGACTTTTCTCAAAAAAACAACGTTGGTTTTTTATTGTGTACCTATATCGTTTTTTAATTTTTTAATTATTATAATATATTATACTATAGGAATATTTAAATATAATTTTTTTATTGCACGACATGCGACAGGGTGTTTATACAGGGTGGCCAAACTAAAACGAAACAGATGAGTTTTTGGGTAGTTAGCAGTTTAAAACGCAAGACAAGTCAACATTAGTTTCGAGGGAGACATATTTTGCTATAGATTTTCTTTGCAAAACGCTTCACAATAATTGTGAGTACTCCTAAAATTTTAACAGGCATCATTCCAAGTAAAACCTCATTTAAAAGTTCTTCCTCCAATAAGTATCATGAAAAAAAATAATCAAATTCTATATATTCGTTTTTAAAATATTTAAAATTAAAGCACACATTGTTGCTTATTCAAATAAAAAAGTACAGGCAAAGAATTTTTGCCAGGAAAAAATGAAAATAGTAAAACAAATTTTGTTTCGTACGCCTTCTAACATTTTAAAGTGTTTGGGGAGTTTATCCACTATACGTTGTCGCAACTCTTGTAGAGACCCTTTAGGATCAATATACGTAACTAGTTAATAAACTTAAAAAATTGTGAAGATTATCCTGCATATATATATATATATATATATATATATATATATATATATATATATATATATATATATATATATATATATATATATAAAAGATGTTTAAAAAACTAGGATAAAGACACAATTGAAATTAAAATGAACATTTTGGACAAAATTTATTTTGCAATTCTGCCCCTCAATTGTCGTGTGTATTTTAGTCCTGTTTGATTTAGTTTTAATTTAACTACTTTCAAACTAATTTCTGTTAAATAGTTTTAAAATGTAATCATGCACACTACACTTGTTTAGTCTACGGCTTAATTTAAATAGGATTACATCCAAATACTATTATATAATGATTAAGTTCATCAGATTAATATGTTAGTTTACTTGAGCTAAAGCATTTGTTTAAGTATTACTAATTTCTAATTTCTTCTTAGTAAAGATTTATTTTATCACTTTTTTGTTAATAAATTTAATAAAATACAACCGTTTCGCGGTTTATAAGTTAATGCTTAGGGTGATTAAAAACACCAAATATAAAATTAATTGTATCGACTTTTACTCTGAATTACTATGAATGTCTGCTCCGTGTTGTCGGTTTTTGGTTCTTAAAAGAACCGTATGTCTAACGACGTTTCGGTACAATCCCATGTACCATCTTCAGGTCTTATCTGCTGGGATGCTGTTGCTACTCTGGTGCGAGTTAGACGTGGAGTGGGCTCCGTTGCCGCTGATTGTTGTTTATATACCCTCTTAGCTTTCCTGCGATTACCTGTGTTATGTTCTGCGTGGCGTTTTGATGGTTGTAAAAACCGGTTTCCATGCAGTTGGTAGTCTCTGTGTATCGTCTCTTATGTTAAGGTTTCTTGGACGTTTTTCTATTTCAATGGCTTCACGGATGGTACGTTTGGTCCTGTTTTCGATGCTAGACAAGACCCTTGTTTTTTCAAAGTCAATTTCATGGGAAGTTCTTCGGACGTGTTCAGCTAATGAAGATGTTTTTTGTTTTTTCAAGACTGCGTTACGATGTTCTTCGCGTCGAACGTTGATACGTCTATTGGTCTGTTCCACGTAGCTTTCGTCACAATTCTTACAAGGGATTTTGTACACTCCTTGTGCCTTGGCGTTTGGAAGTATTTGATCGAATTTTCTTTGGGCGGTAAATGTGGTCTCAATGTTATGTATTTTGAGAACATTGCCTATTCTCTTGGTTGTCCGCACATCGAGGCCACGTAATATAATTACCAAAAGTAATGTTTTTTTTAACTTTTTTTTATTGCTTAATAGCTTATTTATACAGACTGTATAGAATCAAGTTAGTAAGGCTGGAGACAAGGATGACAAATTATATTCTGATCA